AATACATGTGTGATCACGTTGTTGATAAATTTGAGGGGGGTTTGAATTTCTAGCTTTAACTTAAAATTTAAGGTTCTATTTAGTATAATTATAATGTGTTACACATAATTAATGTAAATTTATAATTTTATTTGTCATTACAACTATATGAGGTTAGTGCATATCAATGTTAACTCTAAAAAAATTAAAATTTCAATTTTAAATATTGAGTTAGATAAAAAAAAATTTTTTAAAAAATTACTATTTTTTCTTACATAATTTATCATTATTAGATATATATATAAAAAAAAAAATCTTCCTAGTACTCTAAGGCATGAACGGATGAAAACTACGGTCATGGGTTAGAGGTTTTTTTTTCCCCAAAATTTAGATATATTAAGGAAATTATTTAACTTTAATCAATGAATTTATCAAGGAAGCTGGTTTGGAAGTTTTGTTTGGAAATATCTACTAGAAATTACTTAAGTTATTGAAATAAAGTAAGAGTGTTGGACCATAAGTTGTATGTTGCATCTAGGCTTTTGGCTTTATTGGTTAAAGTGCATTCTACGCTTTAAGACTCTAGTTCAAGTCCCTTGCCTTCAATAATTGTAATACGGTAAAAAAATGGTTTAAATACTCATTTGGTCTCTCAACTTTTAGATTTATATTGAAATTATCCTTTAATTTTAAAAAATATTAAAAGTATCCTTAAATTTTAATTTTTAATACCAAAATAGTTCTTCCATTAACAAAAATGTCATGTGACTTATTATTTTATCACAAATTAGTTTTTTTTTAAATACTAATGATGTGTAAAATTAAACAATTATATTTTGTTGTCATGGTATATTTATATTTACACATCAAATGAATATATAATTAATGTTAAAAGACTAAAATGATATTTTTAATTAAAGTTTAAAAGTTAAGTTGGTACTTGTTCTCAAAATTTAAGGACTAAGTTGGTACTATCTTCAAAGTTTGAGGACTATTTTGGTATCAAAAATTAAAATCTAGGGATGATTTTAATATTTTTCAAAGTGAGAGATAATTTGGATACAAATGTAAAAGTTAAGGAACTAAATTGGAGTTTTAACCTAAAAAAATTTACTAATTGTTTGGTTTTTTTCAGTAAGTTTTCTTCATTAACTTTCATTCTATATAAGCTATTCAAAATGTGGCATCAAAAATAAATTTTTTTACTATAAGGGGTGATGTTACCAATTACCCACAATTGTTAATCACTAATATCACACTTTTTATCTTAGATAAGTATTATATCCCTTAAATAAAAAGTTGTAAAGTTATGAAAAAAGGAGCAATACAAATAAAAGTGAATTAAAATTAAGGGCATAATAATTAATTAAGCTTAAGAGTCATAACATTAATCGTTAAGGATGTGACTATTTAATGTACAATTGATTGGTGGATATAGTTAAAGTAGAAAATAAAAGAAAGAGTGGCATGATCATATGTAATAGTTTCATATTTATTAATGTGTCGCAAGTCTAATGTTGTTGCTGTGAGTTGGTTTTCTTATTTGTTCTAAGATGCTAACATAAATTGATTTTGTGTTCTGGCTTCTCTCTTTCATCGTATATGGTTTTTGTTACTCTTTCTTTGCCTTTATGCCATGGTTATGTAGTAAAAGGAGGTTAAATTGAAATTAAGTTGTTTTGAAACTTATTAGAGATAGGAGTTACTAGGAGGATTGATCAGAAAAATGACTTAATCAAGGAGCAAATCCTCAAGGTTATTCGTAAGTCTTCTTCTTTTTCATTTTTTTAATTAAAGTTATTCTTATTCTCTTTTACTATTGTCATATATATATATATATGAGTTAAAATCTACTCTATATGGGTGTAAGATTTAAAAGTTTTACATAAATTATCAATCATTAAATTTGTGAAATCAAAAGTTGAGATAATGATACTATATTTAACAGTGTATTTATCAACCTGATAAATTTTAACATTATCATCTTCGTCGCTCGATTTATGAAACCAACAATTGATAATTTATATAAAACTTTTAAATTTTACACTCATGTAAAGATAAATCTTATTTTTATATAAAAAAGATAAAAGTCTCATATTTAAAATTCATTTAGTATAATTGTGACTCCGTTCAATATTGTCTGAGGATGACCTTGTGGTGGTGCCCCGTGCCCTCCAATCGGTATGGGAGAGTTTGTAGGCATTAATTGGTGTGGGTTTAGGATGAGGCAATGGAGTTGGTGGCACTTTGTCTATTTAGGTTGATTTTCTTCAATTGTTCTGGCCAGAGTTTTCCATAGAAGCGTGCTTCATCTTTGACAGCAGTGGCCTTACAAAAAGAGGAGAAAAAGAAAAGAACTATGGTTTGCTGATATTCTTTTTTTTTTTTTTTTTAAATAAGTTGTCAAAGGGCGAGCTTGAAGCCCGTCTATAAAGAAAGGGGGAATGCACCTCAAGTTGGTTGGATATCAATTGACCTGAAAGATCAAATGCGTTTTACCGAAATTCTTTAAAGTTGGCAATACATGTGAGATTAATTAGTTACCTTATCGGCTGAATATGCCTGTGAATTAATGGTTGTTTTTTCTATGTTTAGTAGCGTTGTTAGTGCTCGTATGGCAGTTGACATATGCAACATCTAACATAATTGGCTCTTTTTATATTTAATTATCTAACTACATACGTTGTGAGCACAAATTCTATTTGTTAGAGGTATCGCTGTATCGGTTTTACTTTCTGTTTCTAAGTGACGGATTATCATATGGCATTATAATCTCTCTGTCATTATTTAATGAAATCTCGTGATTCTTTACTTATAAAAAAAATAAATAATTGGTACCAAATGTGAAAAGGTTTTAAAGGAAAATAAAAATGAAAAATAGAAGTGTGAAATGGTGGGGCAACTTGAATCTGTGTTCTCCTGCGTCCACACTTGCCGAATCAATAAAACAAAATTATGGTTGACCTAATAAAATCAATATATATAAAAGATTTTATTTTACAATTTAGAATACATTAAATTAAAAA